TTTTTTTTTTTTAAAGATTTTATTTATTTATTTGAGAGAGCGAGAATGAGAGAGAGAGAGCACATGAGAGGGGGGAGGGTCAGAGGGAGAAGCAGACTCCCTGATGAGCAGGGAGCCTGATGCGGGACTCGATCCCGGGACTCCAGGATCATGACCTGAGCCGAAGGCAGTCGCTTAACCAACTGAGCCACCCAGGCGCCCGATTGGTTCTAGTTTTTACCTATGATAATCAGTTTGTAGTGGACAAGATATCTCTCTTTTGCTCTCTGCACAGATGCCGGGATGCCGGGATTTCTCTTGGCTATAATCCTGTGAGTTGCTGGTTTAAGGATAGGAGTTATTTAAAATTTTGTAGACATAAATTCCAGTATCCCCAGCACACTCCCAACTACCAATGGCCTCTAGTCATCCTTTGTCATCTGAAAAACTGCCCAAGACAGTTTTTCTACCCAGTGCTGAGGAGGCCTGAACTTGGAGCCCAGATAAGATATCCCCTAGAAGCCCTGCCTCAGCCTGCTGGTCTAACATGTTTTGAATTATTCCTGCCAACCCACATTATTCTCACAAGCTTAAAAACAGGCCTTGATATGCCTCTTGCAAAAAGATCCTCCCCAAAGCCCCAACCCCCACCAAAACCCTTTGCCCTATCAAACTTCTCTAAGGGGGAGCATACCTTGTGGGAGTATCCCTGCCCCAGGAGGAAATTTCCCTTCCCTTCCTGAACCCTCCAGCTTTCAGCCTCTTCCTCTTGTGCCACGATGTGGTCAGATGGATAGCTGCGTCCCTAGTACCTGGGCTCTCTGTTGCTAATACCCCGTATATACTTTGATGGGGTATTAATTAATATTAGTATTATAGCATTAGCATGTTGTATGTAAAATGTGTTAAATGCTGTGTATATTTATAAAGTATATTGTATATGATATATATGTATTAATTTTCATATCTCATACTATATATATATATTTTTTTTCCCTTTAAAACCTCACCTTGAACAAATTTGCCTCTTAATCGTTCCCTTTCAGGTTGATAGCATCACTACCTACCCAGTTTATTGGTACTGTAAGGAGAGACTATTGCCATAGACAGAACACTCCCACCCTGAAGTCTGGCACTAAAGAGCTTTTCTTTTATAGGAAAGAGTTCACAAGGATGGGAAGTGGGATGAGTGGGTGGGGTGATAGGATTTTTTTTGATCAGGGAGGTCAGCTGATTTACAGGGAGGGGCTGGTAGAGGGTTGTTCTGTCCCAGTGCTCAGGGGTAGGTTGGGGGAGGAGAGGAACTGCACCAAAGTTTAGTCAAGGCAAATTAAATTCAAAGGTATTTTATCTAGGTAGTTCAGTGGGGACAAACAGTTCAGCTACTCATTCATTAGACAAAAATGGGAATTTGGATAGTCTGTGCCTGGCCTTGTCATAGGTAAACAAGGGGTCATCCTCCTGTCTTATCTAAGTCATATAGGGAAGGGTGTTTCATTGCATGCAGGCATTTCCCAGGACACAGGAGTTGGGGGATTTCTTACCCATCACAGTTTTCTAGGAGCACAGGGTTTGGGTGTGAAGCTCAGCACTGTCAGTGTAAAGACTGGATCGTTCTGTGGTTTCTCTAAGTTCTCTCACTGGCTGCACATCTCCTCCTCTCCCCATTTTTCATCCTAGTGTAAGCCCCTAGCAAATCCTAGCAAATCCTTACATTTCCTACAAAATGTATACAATCATCTCTGCTGCACCTCCCTTCCAAGGAGTCCCCATTCTCACCTGGACTCTGCTGTTGCCCCTCACCACCCACCCCTGCTTCTACTCTTGCCTTCCTCTTTCTGTCCCATGAGCAGCTGCCAGTTTTGATCTTTAAAAATACAAATAGGAATGGAAAACTCTTACAGAACTCCTGCGAAGCTGCCAATCAGAAGGTGTAAACTCAGATTTGATCTAGGCTTGTTTGCCCTGATCTTGACCTGCCACCCTCTCCCATCACTTTCCTCTCCAGACACCCAGGTCACACCAAGCTCCAGCCACACCTACATGGGCTTTCTTCCCTGTTGTGCACCTGCCTGGAGCTAGATCACGCCCTGGCCACTTTGATTTTCCTGAGGCCCTCTTCCTCCAGAGCTTCCAAAGGCTAGGAACAAGGTGGGAGTGGAGCCCTAGGAGCCCTCCAATCTGCTTGCATCAGGGTTGGTGCCTGGGTTTGGGATGTTTGGGGAATAATACATGATACCTTGCGTTCTTTTTATAAACTTGGGCAATTGACTTGCTAAACCTCTCTGAACTTGAGTACCCTTAACAGTCATGGGGGTTTGCTAGGCTTCCTCATGGGCAGCAAGGCCCACAAGCCTCTTTGCTGGCTGTGAGAGACAGGACTCCCGTGGCCTTTTAGGAAACCTGTGTGCACGCGGCATTTGCTTTGTTTCCATGTGTGGTCATGGGTCTTGTGATGCAGCTTCTAGGCATGTGCTGGCTGGAGTCTAGAGCATATCCTGCCTCTCACATCTGCCCTCTTGTCCTCTAGTTGTGCCTGCTCAAGACTACCTGTCTCCAGGGAGGGAATGTGGAGGCAGAAGTGATGGCTCAGGGTTGCTGACAATGTGGTTACAGGAATCAGAAACCCCCTCTTTCCAATGTGACGTCTCCCTCCTTGAGGTTGGCTGTGTCTCCTTCTGGTGGCCTGGAGCTTTCCAACCTGACCAGGACTTGGTCTCCACACTTCCTCAGGACCCTTAGCCTCTAATGAATGGTGGCTAAGGGACTTCCCAGAGAATGCTCAGTGTTTGTGAATTTTTTTTCAGTTACTTGTTCATATTAGCTCAGTAGTTACTTCAGAGCTGTGGCAGAAAACCAGGAAAGACTATGAGATGACTTTGTCTCAGGAATTCATGGAGACATCATTCATTCATTTACTAAGTATTTGTCTCAGGCTTCCATGGGCTCAGGGCTGTGTGGCAACTCACCTAGGGGACCCAGGCCAGATGGGTTCACAGACTAGTTGGAGAGAGAAAAGTTCATCCACTTGTTGAAGAGCTAATAAATCGATGAGGCTAGACAAGACTGCTGAGGATGTGTGTGTGGAGAGAGATGAAGCGAAGAACCCTTTCTGCCTGCATCTGAATTTCCCACTTCTTGGTCTTCTGGTGCCATCCTCCTCACACTCTGCCTTTCTGGGACACTGATGGAGATGAGCTTTGGCTGAGCCTGAATGTGTGTGATGTTTCAGGATTCAGTGACCTTTGAGGAAGTGGTGGTGGACTTCTCCCAGGAGGAGTGGGCACCACCGGACCCTGCTCAGGGAAAATTATGTACAGAGACCTGATGCTAAAGAACTACAGGAACCTGGCCTCAGTCAGCCTCATCTCTTCATTGGTAGATTTTTGCTGCAAGTATTTTTTTAAAAGATTTTATTTATTTATTTGAGAGAGAGTGAGAGACAGAGCACGAGAGTGGGGTGAGGGGCAGAGGGAGAAGCAGACTCCCCACCGAGCAGGGAGCCCGACGTAGGACTCGATCCTGGGAGTTCAGGGTCATGACCTGAGTGAAAGGCAGACGCTCAACTGACTGAGCCACCCAGGCGCCCCGCTGCAAATATTTCTTAAGCACCTGTTACATTCCAGGAACTGTTTTTGGTCTTGGGAAAAGAGTAGTGAAGTAGGAGATGTGGCTCACTCTTGAGGAGCGACAGTGTAGAACAGGAGTGGCCACACTTTTCTTTTAAAGGCCAGAGAGGAAATGTTTTCTGCATAGTGGGCCATAGAGTTTCTGTTGCAACAACACAATGCTGCTAATGTAGTGCCCGGTGTAGTATGGTATGTAAACAAATAGAGCTCTGTTCCAATAAAAGTGTATTTACAAAAGCAGGTGGCTAACTCCGGGCTCTAGTCACTAGTCCCTATCTAGCATCTTCCCCTTGAGAATGAAGATTCATCTTTATGCCAACTTTGTTTTCTTCATGATTAGAAGCTTTGGTGCTCCTGAAGTGTGTCTCTGAGCTTGGGGCTGAGGATCCCCAATCCCTATAGGGCATGATGTGAGGTAGTTTGTGTGGGTCCTGGGTACCATCACCTCATTGCTCATGGGGTCACACATGCCCATCCTCTGAAAGTGTTGGCCCCACTCTGAGGGGAAGTTGCCTTTTCTTCCCTGCACATCCCCCCAGATGTGTCTTTCCCCGTGTACAGGTGTCATTTCCATAAACCCGACCTGCTCACCTAGGTAGAGCAGGAGGAGCTGGGGACCAAGAAAAGGAGAGTTCTGACCCTCTAAGAAACCAGTGTAGATGAGCCCTAGGCCAAAGGAACTCCATTCAGGGAATTTCTAAAATGTCATGATTTTTTTAAAAATTGAGGTATAGTTGACACACAGTGTTACATTAGTTTCAGGTGTACAACATAGGAGTTACACAAGTTTTTATGTTATGCTATGCTCACCACAAGTGTGGCTACCATCTGTCACCATACACTGCTACTACAATGCCATCTAAAATGTTATCTTGTCTGAGAAATCATCTCAGGCCACTTGGAATGAATTTTCTCTTGAAGCTTTGGCTTCCCTTCCTCTCCTTCTTCCTTTTCTCCCCAACTTTCTTTTGTTCCCAGAGAAAGCTCTCTCTGTCCTGCTTCCTTTTTTCTGAGCATTTCCACTTTTGTAAATAAAGTTTTACTGGAACATGACCCCACCTGTTTGTTTGTTCATTTTTCTACTGTCCCCAAACTTTGATAGTGCCCTCTGTCAGACTGTTAGCAGCCATTTTATTCTTGACAAAAACATTTCTTAGCATTTCCATCCCTTGTTTCTGTCACTATCAAATTCTTCATATTGCTGAAATCCTTAAGGTCTGTCCAACTGCTGGGGCATTCTTTACTGTCACATTGACTTCTTATGTTTAGGGTCAGTCTATGAATAAAAGCTACATGGGTCTGGCTCTTTGTTTTTATTTTTAATTACTTTATCTCATCATTTATTTCTCTAAGAACTTAAATCTTTGTCCTCCTCTCCCCCATTAATTTCAGATCAAAAGTTTCAACTTAAAGCCAAAAACACCACTGCAAAGCAGAATAAAGTTTGGAAAAAACACCTACTGTCAGAAAAATGGTAAGGCTCATGAGGGCACATTGCTGGTTCTCTGCAGAAGAAGTCTGGGATTGCTGTGTTATGGAAGAAGAGCACAACCACCATGGGGAGACACTTGGGTCCAGTGACCTTCACCCAAAAGAAGTTGTTTCTTAGGAGAGAGTCTCTGAGTATCATGAATTGGGGAACATTCTAAACCAATTTCAGTATTTATTTATGGAGAGTTGCCATAAGTAAGCAGATCCATTAATATGACTTAGTGAATTTTGACATATAATTCAGTTTTTAAGTATTTATCAAGAAAAATCTACATAAGCAACTTTAGAATGTCGTGACTATGATGGGACCTTGCGGCAGAGCATTCACCTTACTTAAAATTCGGAAGAACTCAGATAGGGCAGGAGCGGTACATGTGCTCTGAAAATGGTAGTAATTTCTCATGTAGGAATTTGCTTTTTTTATAGGGCAGACTTTTTTTTAAGATTTTATTTATTTGTCAGAGCACAAGGGGGAGTGGCAGGCAGAGGGAGAAGCTACCCACTGAGGCTACCCACTGAGCAAGGAGCCTGATGTGGGACTTGATTCCAGGACTCTGGATCATGACCTGAGCCAAAGACAGATGCTTAACAGACTGAGCTACCCAGGCATCCCTAGTGCAGACTTTCTGTGGTGGGGGGGAATCCCCATGAGTGCAATTAAAGTGAGAAAGCCTTTAGTTATTGCTTATTCCTTAACCAACAGGCACTAACTCAACCCAGAGAGAAACCCCATGAATACAGTTTGTGTGGAAAAGCAATCAGAAGCAATTCTAACCTTGTTTGGCCCAAGAGAAATTACACAGGAGAGAAATGAAATGAATGTCAAGAATGTGGGAGAGTGTTTAGTTATCCTTCATCCCTTCAGACCCATGTGTGATCTCATGCTGGCAAGAAACCCTGTGAATGTTTTCAGCGTGGGAAAGCTCGTGGGTCATCACTCATCCTTTGTGACACGTGTGCGAATCCACACTGGAGAGAAACCATATGAGTTTAACCAATGTGGGAAACTCTTCAGATCCAGCTTGAGCCTTGCTATACTCAAGAGGATACACAATGGGAGAAGCTGTATAAATGCAATGACTGTGGAAAGACTTCATCAGGAGCAGGAACCTGACCGTGCATAAGAGAGTGCACACCAGGGAGGGACTATCTGTGTGAAGATTGTGGCAAAGCCTTTAGCAGGAAATTCCATCGGATGGCACACATGAGAACCCATAATGGGGAGAAGCTTTACCATTGCAGTAACCATGGAGAAGCCTTCAGTAGGAGCTCTAACCTGACTGCTCACAAGAGGGTACGTACAGGGGAGATTTACCAGTGCAGCTGCTGTGGGAAACTTCAGTAGTCACCCATCCCATAGGAAACATGTGAGTACTCACAGTGGAGAGAAGCCCTAGGATTAGAAGCACATGGGAAAGCCCCAGTTGGTCTCACATGTGAGCAACTCTGTGAATATCATTAGTGTGAGAAAGTCCTCCACGGGGACTTCAGTTCCTGCACAAAGAAATTCAGGGTAGGAGAGAAACCTTATGAGGTTTATAAATATGGAATTGCTTTCTTCAGGGTCTTATCCTCAAAATGGAAATCTAACTCATTAGTTTTCAGATCGTGTTTGTGAATAAAAGCATTTAAGGCCATAGATATCCTCTCAATATCCCTTTAGCTACATTACATGGATTTTGACCTAAGGTATTTTTATTTTGGTTTAATTCTAAATACTGTTTCTATTAGATGTATTTTAACTCACAATGTTGATTTCCTTTTTGAGCCTATCAAAATACAACTTCATTTAAATTTCACCTGAACTCTCTCCTTCCCCCAGATTTTATGATATCCATAGGTCTTTGTTTGGGAGGATACCCATGGTTCCTTAGGTGTGTTGTCTCCCTTGTTGCAATGAGCCAGTAAACCTGACTTTGTTAGACTATAGATTTTGTCCTGATAGTCTTTGGCTGATTGTGTTGGGACAATAACATGCAGTCATAAATATGTTCTACTCTCTTGTCCTTAGTGTTTCTAAAAAGTCCTTCTGGGGGCGCCTGGGTGGCTCAGTTGGTTAAGCGACTGCCTTCGGCTCAGGTCATGATCCTGGAGTCCCGGGATCGAGTCCCACATCGGGCTCCCTGCTCGGCAGGGAGTCTGCTTCTCCCTCTGACCCTCTTCCCTCTCGTGCTCTCTATCTCTCATTCTCTCTCTCTCAAATAAATAAAATCTTTAAAAAAAAAAAAGTCCTTCTGAAATGTCTTCTAAAATATTTTGTTTTCCATCATTGATTTTTTTTATATGTGGTGTCAGGAAGGGTCCAGTTTAATTTCCTCCCTGGTAGATAACCAGTTTTCCTAGAACTCTAATCTGAAAGTCAGTTCCAATTTGAAGTTTCTGTGTGCATGTTTTTATGTTTCTGGGCCTTCCATTCTGTTATAATCAAATTTGTTAATCCTGTACCAATATAGCACCATCTTTAATAACTTTATACTATTTTTTTAACATCTGAGAGACAGATCCCTACAACTTGTTCTTCAAGCGTAGCTTCTTTCTTCTGTGCCTTTCATTTCTTCATATGTATTTTATAATAAGCTTGCACAATTCCACAAAAAATCATATTGGCATTTCATTAGATCAGTACTGGTAGAATTGTTAAATCTTTCAGGCCTTAAACTCAATATCTTCATTTATTTAGTCATATTCTAATGTCTTTCAGTGGAGTTTATATTTAAATATATATTTAAAATGTTATTTTCTTAAAAATATGAAGTGTGGACATTGGCTTCTTAGTATCTAAAAACATTTATATTGAGAAACATGGGTCTTTTTTTTTAAGATTTTATTTATTTATTTGACAGAGACACAGTGAGAGAGGGAACACAAGCGGGTTGGGGGGGGTGGTGGGAGAGGGAGAAGCAGGCTCCCCACTGAGCAGGGAGCCTGATGCGGGGCTCGATCCCAGGACCCTGGGATCATGACCTGAGCTGAAGGCAGACACTTAACGACTGAGCCACCCAGGCGCCCGACAAACATGGGTCTTGAGGGCAAAGAGGGACCAGAAAAAAGCAGCCTCCAACATTCAGGGAACATGCATTGCTGGTGGGATTGTAAAATGATGTGTGGTCATTTTGAAGAAGTTTGGCGATTTCTTAAAATAAATTTGCCATTTGACCCCCAAGAGAAAGTAAAAGATATGTCCACACAAAGACTTGCCCACAAATGTTCATAGCATGTTTCATAATAGTCAAAAGAGGAAATGCTGAAAGTCCATCAACTGGAGAATAAGTAAACAAAATCTAGCTATCCATACAATGCACTATTTGGCAATACAAAGAAATGAAGTTCTGATACATGCTACAACACGAATGAACTTCAGAAACATTATGCTCAGTGAAAGAAACCAGTCACAAAGGACCGCATATTGTATGATTTCATTTATATGAAATATCCAGAATAGGGAAAGCCATAGAGACAGATACTAGGTTCGTGTTTGCCTGGGCTGGGGTTGGGAACCTGACTAAACAGGCATGAAGGATCTTGTTGGGTTGATAGTAATGTTCCAAAACTGGTTTGTGCTTATAGTTGCACAACTATGTTCACTAAAAATCATTTGAATTATACATTTAAAATCGTTGAGTTTTATGGTATGTAAACTATATCTCACTAAAGCTGTTATAAAAGGAGATTCCATTGTGCATTCATTTTGATAAATTGAGCTACAGTCTCCATTGTGATAGGATATGTCCATAATAGTTAGCTTTGAAGTCATCTTTGAAGTCAAGTGTTCCTTGACAGGAACACTTGGGACAGTAGCATGATCTTTTCTCAATGATGTGTGAGTCCAACTGATGAATCCTTTTTGGAGTAGATGCATGACTGAAGAGTATGACCCTCTTTAGTTCATTTATTGGGATTCAGGTGAGGTATTCATTTAGCTTGGAGAAGTCCTCTTTTTCAGAGTCTTCCTCCTTTTACTCAGTAGTTTCAATGCCACACTTCCTAATTTGGTTCTTTTCCTTGTGTTCTTTAAAAGTCTTGTTGGACTTTTTGTGAGACCTTGAATGGTTTTCTTTCATAGGCTGTGGGTACTTCAAACTAAACTGGGATGTAAGGTTTCTGGAGAAAGGCTAGAGGTATATGTATCTTGTGGTCCTTATAGATTATATTTCTCTTTGTATGTTGAGTTTGGCTTGTAGCAAACTTGCTATATTCTTATTCTAATAACTGATGTGTAGTCTTTTGAGGTTTTCTGTAGATAATCATATCTACCAATAGAGGCAGATTTCCCCTGCTCCTTTTTAATTTGTATACCTTTCTTATGCTTTTGTTGCCTGACTGTCTCTGGCTGGGACTTGAACCATATTGACTAGAAGCAGTCCTAGGTACTCTTGTCTTCTTCCTGATCTTAAAGGGCATTTTTTTTTCATATTTCATCTTTAAGTGTGGTGTTCTCTGTAACATTTTTATAGATAACTTTACTAGGATGAGAAAGTTTCTTTCTTTTTCCTAGGATGTTGGCATCCTTTCTCATGAACAGATGTTGAATTTTATCAAATGTTTGTTCAGCATCTCCTGAGATGATAATATTTGTTCACTGATGTATTTCAAAACTCCTGGAACAATGGTAGGACACATGGTAGGCACTCAATAAGTATTTGTTGAATGAATGAATGAATGAATGAATACATGTAACATCTCTAACATGTTTGTGTGGTAAATTACTTTAATTGATTTTTCACTGTGAAATTAACTTTGCATTCCTGAATAACTTGGCCATCACATATTAGTTACACATCATTGTTCCTGGCTTGCTAATATGTTAGGATTTTTGCATCTTTGAGTAAGATTGGCCTGCAGTTTTTCTTTCTCATGTTGTCCTTTTGTTATTGTTTCAAGGATATGGTGGCCTTATAATACTGATTGGGAAAATTCTCCCAAAGTCCATTCCTTCACCTAGATTCACCGGCTGTCAACACTTTTTGACAGTTACAGTTTTTTTCATTTGTATAATTTTATTTTATGGATGAGCCATTACAGACATGAGACTTCTTTAACATTTATCCTAAGAACAAGGACATTGTCAGGAACTCAAAGATCTGAGATTTTCCCCTACTTATAGGTTAACAAGTTAGCCTGCCACAGTTTCATGGATGTTGGCCAAAGACACCAGACTTCTGGGTCAGAGACCAAGGACTTTATTACAGGACAGCAGGCAGTACAAGCTTCATATTGCTATCAATTCCTCTTGATTCCCAAGTGCCACAGGGGTGACATGAAGTGGGTTTGTATCACAGCTTGGAGCCCCAAGCTTTTCTAAGGAGCTGCAAACAAACCTGCTTGTTCTTTGCCCCAGAGGGAGACATTATCTTTATTACACTGAACAACAAAAAACCTGCCCTCTGCTCTAAGATGTTATATAAACATCCTCGGAGACATAGTCCAGAACAGAGTAAGATGTGCACACGTGAGCTACCCATGAAGAATTGCCTTCCCACAGACATTTTCCTCTATAATCAAAATATCATCAATACACTGATGAAATGTAGCATTAACAAAATAATGTTACTAGCACACAAACTATAATCAAATCCCTCCCATCCCACAAACATCCTTTATTGAGGATTTGGAACATAATTTAGTTATGAAAATGATTTTAAGAAATCTTATGTGTGAAGCTCTGGGATAATAGACACTTAATAGAGCCATTTGGCAAAAGTCACTTTATTCAACTCAAAAGAATCAGGTCAGGAACCACACAGAAAAGTCATATTTTTTTTTTTTCACAAAAGAAGGTGTGAAAGCCTTCACAAGCACTTATTCTTGTATGCAACAAGCGAGGACGACAGTGGAGGAAAGTCCTTTTAGTATAATGAATATGGAAGGTCTTCAGGTATGGATCTTCACTTGCTGTTCACAAGAGAACTCGTTCTGAGGGAGAGAGGCTATGTCCATGTTGTGAACATGGCATTGCCTTTGTGCTTACCCCTAACTCAATTTGTTTTTTTATTTCATAATATAAATACTCAAGAATACTCATATCCCTCAAAATGCCCTCTAAATTATTGAACAAGTTGTGATAGGTAATATTTGTATTTATTATGACTCAGTTGTAAATACTGTCTCATTTACATTTTGATGACTTCTTGGACTCATGGGTTGTTCGGGAATATGTTTTCAAGATGCAGTGCCAGGAGTTCTTAGTTGCCTTGTTTTTTCATTTCACATTTAACTGCTTTGTGGTCAGAGTCAGTGATCTGTAGGATATGGATTCTTTGGCATTTGTTGGGACTTTCTAGCCCCATGTAGCAGACATTGCTGGCTGCCTCTATATCCATTCTCCTCATTCTTCTTACTCTCAGAACTTGGATTTTGCTCAATTTGTTAATGTTTACTGTAAAAACAAAACCAACCAACCAACCAACCAAAAACAAAAACAAAAACAAAAACCCAACCAGCTCTCTCTCTTAGTCTTTCTTGAAGGAGTGGTCATGTCCCAGAGCTCTGGCCCATGGCAGGTAGGCAGAGTCACTGGTGTAGCTTCTGGGAAAGCTCTTGAAAAGGAGACAGTCCCATGCTTGTTATTTTCACTTTTTGTTCATGGTCCTTCCTCCTCCTTTCTGCCTAGAACCTGAATATAGAGCCTGGAGTTGGAAGACCTTACTTTGTAACCCATAGGCAGAAGCTACAGGTAGGGATGGCGCAGCCAGAACATAGGGCTCCTTGCTCCCCAGGGGGTTTCTTGAGTGACTGCACCAGCCCTGAACTGCTTATTTCTAGACTCATGTTACATGAGAAAAGAGATACTCTTTTAAAACAAAGTCCTTATTGTAGTTTCATAGTGGGAGAGCTATCAGAAATTTGTGTGGCAGCCATGAGAACCTGCCTCTTGGGTATCTACCTCGGGGCTTAGTTGGCTAATGGCCCCGGTTGCTACCCATCCCAGGACCTACCTTTGGTGTTGTGCTAAGACTACTCCTAGCAGTGACTAAGCATGGCAGGAGTAATAGTGCAAGCCCATTCTTCTGG